TACTTTTACTCAATCGTTCTGCGGCAAATAGGTTTTATCTCCCTATTTTCGGATACATGAATTAACGATACTTTTGTAATACTATTACTCAATCGTTCTGCGGAAAATAGGTTTTATCTCCCTATTTCCGGATACATGAATTAACGATACTTTTGTAATACTCTTACTCAATCGTTCTGCGGCAAATAGGTTTTATCTCCCTATTTCCGGATACATGAATTAACGATACTTTTGTAATATTCTTACTCAATATCTTGGTGTGCGTGTCCACATCTGAAGTTCACCATCATCCCAGGTATTAAACAACTCTTAATCATTATAATATAACAGTACAAGATTGAGAAACTCTCTCAAAAATAACAAACAAGAGCAAAACTCAAGAAAACATTTACGTAATCTATCAATTTATTTCAAATCAGCACATCTGCAGTTTTCTGCAGGACATATTATTCGTAAATTGAGAATATCTTTCTCTGAACAAACTCTTTTTAAGAATAGTTTTTCGTTTTGGAAACTAGACTCACATATCTATCTTTTGACAATATCAATTTATTTCAAATCAGCACATCTGCAGTTTTCTGCAGAACATAGCATTAGTAAAATGAGAATATCTTTCTCTGGACAAACTCTTTTTAATAATAGTTTTTCGTTTTGGAAACTAGACTCACATATCTATCTTTTGACACTGATTTGGCTCAGTTTGGAGTTCATATGATACTTCAAATTTCCAGTCAAACATTTTATATGTGCAGCAGATTTTCTGCAGGATATATCATCAGTAAATTGAGCATATCTTTCTCTAGGAAAACCATCTTTAGATATGGTTTCCTGTTTTGAAAACTAGATTCACATATCTTTCAATTGGCATTAGTTTCGTTCAATTTGGATTTCATTTGTTATTTCAAATTTCTAGCTCAATAGTATATATGTGCAGCAGATTTTCAACAGAACATAACAAGCATGATTATTTGCACAAGAAATCATATGTCCAATTTTTATATACAAAATAATTGATTAGGCTCTATAAAACTCATTAAAAACTCTTCAAAAATATTTTAAAAACTGGGAGGGGGATTAGTAGAGATGATACTCGCCTGGGGTTGAAGGAAAAACTTGTTAGAAGTAACGTCGAAGGAGATCTCCACTCCAAAAGCCAAAAATCAACAAAACCCCCAAACTTGAAAGCCTCCAATCTTCTCCAAGAATTCAAAATAGGGTTTATGGGGGTTTGGTGGCTGTTAGGGTTCTTAGATATGATAAAAAAAATCGTGAAAAAATACAGATATTTATAGAGGCAAACCCGAAACAAACCAGTTAGACCCGAACCAGGAAACCTAGTCTGACTAGGAAAATATTCCTTCGATATTTTAGCTGTAACTTTCTCATCCGACCTCAGAATGAGGTGATCTAAGACTTGTTGGAAAGATGCTGAAGAGACCTACAACTTTAGTCTTTTACACTTTTCCAAATTCTAACTGCATCGGTATGCAAAACATAAAAACTCATAACTGGTCATTATTCCCAGATTTTCACTCTTTTGGCCTTTGTGCATGTTTTGTGCATTTGCACTCATATTTTTACAAATATACATTGAATTGATCTCAAATCAATTCTTATCATATCCAAATATCAAAATATATTATTTTTCATCATATAACATATTTATCATTATTTATCATAAAATATTCAAATTTACGGGGTTTTACAGACAAAATAATACATATCTAAAACGAAGCAAACAACAATAAACATGCAAATACACTATAAACAACCATGAATAAATACTATACATACCCACAAATGCTATTTAGAATAATTTTTTATATTAGTTATAAAAGAATAATAATTAATGTAACAAAATAACTATATAATTAGTAACTCAACTCTAAACTTAACAATATGAATAATTACTTAAATATCAAAATCAAAATACATGGCTCTTAAAAATAACAAAACCAATGCGAACATACTAAAATAATGTAACAAGACAAAACTTACTGATAAGAAACTATATACGGAAAATGTAAAGGATAAGAATATACTCTATATGTAGAATATTAAAATCATGAACTCATTAAAAATATGAACAATATACACTAATCTAAAACATAAGTAAATGATAGATAGTATGACAGAAAACGCACACATACATAATGTAGATATGCAATTGTATATTTAAACACAATAAAATAATCTATATATCAGATATGATATGTGATGTATATGTTAAATCTAATGACATGATTTGAACAATTAAAAATACATAAGTAATAATATATATTTTTAATAAAGACATACAACATAATATTATGTGTGATACAAAAATCAATACAATCAAAAGATATACAAGTCAAATCAAGGAAACATAGTCGTAAAAATAATAACATATAAAATAATGATCGGCACGAGGATAGAGGAGTTATACAAAGAGAGGGTAATCGCGAAGTGATGGGACAAGAACCATGGAAAACTCCGGAGTCAAAGAGTGATAAGATATGGACGAAAGGAAATCTATCAAAAAATAGGATAAGGGCTCAAGAATAGTCTCACGGATGAAATATGATATATGTATCTAAATTGTCCATCATATTCTTACTAGTGAGGACTCAGGACCGTGACCTGCATGGGCCACCACTAAAACCTGTCATGCCCCGCTTCCCAAAATATCCGGGAATCGGAACATGAACAAGCCCGCGACGTATTAGATGGAGAAGAAATATACACTACTATTTTTTTGTCTTCTTTTCTTTTCTTCTCAATCCAATACGCTAAGCGTCTAGAATTAAATACAATGCGAAGTCATAGGTCCCCGATCACAATCAGCAAGAATATAATAGACAACCTCAGAATAAAATTATACATATCACAAAGAATATCTTTCGAGACATAATATTCAGTCAAACATGCCCTTATACAAATTGAACAAATGAATACTGAAGAAAATGTAAACTACATCGTTCAACGGTAATGGAAAGGAAAATACTACAAGAACAACTGAGATCATCAACTAAGAAGGGATAACTGCTTCGGCCTATTCTTTAACTCTATCTGCAAGACACTTCTGTTGAGAATCCTCTAGCTCCTGACGATGTCCCAGATGAACTTGTTCTTCCTCTAAGTCTGACGTACACCAGAGAAAACAGGTGTACGTCAGGGTGCATGGCACACGGCAAGACCCCACAAAAGAAAATAGAACAAACGAAAACCAAAGCGGAAATCGATACGATAATAGAAATGACAAAAGGATGGCACATGGCAAGATCTCACATGAACAAATAAAATGGTCTAACGACCCAGGCTATAGCAATAATAATACCAACAAGAAAGACAATGATACATGCAAATGGAAATCTAATAGTAACATACAGCTATGCGAATACAATAACTGGGTCAAATACTAACCAACCTAAGCTTAGTGGTCCATACCTCATATAGAGCCAACGCTCCTGTCATCGGATAACTGACTGTTCACAAACTCCCTACGTGACACGTAAACTGTTTTCTGCCTGGTCCGAACTCAAGCAAAACTCGGGTGACGAAACGATTCCACTGACTAAAGTGATGTACACACTTCACTTTAGCCCTACAAACCAACCCCAGTGGTGACACCAACCACTGACGCGAGCCTGGAAGATACATCAACAGTCTTATCTGATCACATGAACATGGACTTCCCCATCCCAACTCTTCTCATTTTTCTAAATCAAACATAATCCTCATTAAAACTCGGGTTCACCACCTAAACTCGATCAACACACCCATACATGTCACTAGATCTGTTCATGAAGCACGAGGCCACTAAGTCGTGAACTACTAAGGTTCTCAATCACAACAATGAGATAATAAATAAAACTAATTTCATACAACAACATCATGGCATATCGAATATTCAAAATTAATAGGTATAAATCATAAACAGCGTCTGCATAATTCAGAAGAATAATCTTTTCCTAAATTAATTTATTTTAAATTATTTCTCTTATCCGTTAATCTAAAAATAATTCATTTTCTAAAATAAATTCCTTTAAATTATTATAATTATCTAAAAATGATTCTTTTGTCGAACTAAATTCTTTTAATTCATAATAATTATCAAAAATATAATTCTTTTACCGAACAAATTCTCATAATTTACTATAACTCTTCTAAAAATATTATTCATCATATTACTATAAATTATTTAATATTAATCATCAACAAATCCCACATAGATGATTATAACACAAATTAATACGTAGATGATCCATAACAAGTATAAAATTCTAAGTGATGACAAGATGAGCAAGGGATCTTGCCTCGGGTATCGAACAAGTAGACTACGGATCCAAAGGCGTTGTTGGGTGCTCGAGGTAGGGATGTTAAATGGGTGGGTTTGGGTTTTAAATGGGCGGGCCAAAAATAGGCGGGCTTGTTTTGCTCATTTGCCCATTTATGACACATTTAACATTTTCTAAATAGGCGGGTTTTTGCCTGCCCATTTAATAAACGGGCCGCCCATTTGCCCATTTAACTATAGTAGCTATATGTATATAATACTTTTGGGGTGTTTTTTATAAACTTTTAGGGGGCTTTTTATAAACTATTGTGGGCTATTTGCAAACTTTTTGGGGATTTTTTACAAATATTTTAGGGCTCTTTGCAAACTTTTTGGGGGCCTTATGCAAACTTTTTGAGTATTTTTTGTAAACTTTTTGCGGGGTTTTCACAACCTTTTAAGGGTTTTTTTGTAAAATTTCAAGGAGTTTTTTCCCCAAATAAAATCCTTCGAGAATTAGAAACTAAAAATAGAATTCTTATTCAACAAATGTGTCAAAAGAATTCTATTGGCAAATATATAGATGATCAACACATAATATATGAGACTCTAATGTAACGTATATATTTACAGTAAGCAATAAAAATGTAGAGTTTAATCCAAACTTCAAGAACTAAAACCAGCAACCACTACTCATGACCTGGTGCTAGGTTTATGATAAAATACTAATAAATACAACAATATATCACATGAAAATATGATACAAATCACATTGACACAAACTTTGCATTATTGTTGCTTGATTTAAGTTCATAAACAGCTTCAACTAACTTTGCTTTCGAATACAAAAGATGTTATCATAGCACTAATAGATTGTGATACATTTGCAAGTCATGTCTAAAAAAAATTAAAACAAGTAGTATAATCAGTACTAATAGATTGCGATATACTGCTCAGCAGCTTCCACAAAGTCACCTTGCAAAAAAAAAGATAATAATTAGATAAAACTTCTAACCATGTCTGAAAAGATAAAACTAATCATTCTAATGGACACTCGATGGAAAGATTAATAATTAGATGTCAACCTTGCATGAACCCTCTCAGTTGGCAATGAACCCCATGTTGAAAAAACAATGAATGAGGGCTCATACAAAACATAGAAAAACATAACTTATTGGTCAGGCTATTGACACTCATCCACCGATGGACTGAACATTCAAATTCTATACATAGCAAACCCTCAGAACTCTCTAGGCTAAACATTATATATTTTATAATGTGCTTGATCAGACATTATAGATTTTAAACTTAGTTGCAGTTCTTCAAATTGTTCCTTCTTAACATGGAATAAAGAGATAAAAGAACAGAAAAAGAAAAAAAACATATATGCCATACCCTTCCTTAACAGCGATGGAGACAGTTGTCATGCTCAAGGCCAGGACAGGGTGCTCTAAGTCGATAATTCCCTGAACCAAAAAAGCATAACTTATAGGAGTAAGGAATTTTCAACTGGAATTGTAATTCATTAATACCTCCAGCATATATACCAAATAGACAAGATAATTAGTTCCAATAACATTTAAAAAAAAGAGAAACAAATGTTATAAAATAGAGAAGTAAATACCTGTAGAACATTGACAGCATGCCAGGCAATGCCACCTGCAGTAGTCAAAAGCATACAAGAAATCCCAAGAGCTTCTAGTGTCCCAAACTTACCTTGTCCTGGAAAAAAAATGCAAGAGGATCATAAGTGCGATGCAGGACAACTTTGGAGCTTGGAGAGAGTAAAAAAAATCTCCTCATGGGAAGAGTCCTAATTATTCAGGATTGAAGGAAATATTTTCAAATAAGATATTTGATTCCAGTTTAGATTAGATGTTTTTGATAGTGGTTCTTAAGAAACACAAGACACTTGACGTATTAGCCTTTTAAAATGAAAGGTCTAGAATCTGAAACAGAGACAACTTGATCTTTTGTTTGGGAGGGTCAGCACTGTAATATGAAACAACTTGCCAAGGTTGCCATTTCAAAATCCAGAGGCACTCAACCTGAAAACCAATAGACTTGGAAGTTTTTCAGAGCTCGGATATGTGCTCAACCCAAGACCACAAGACTGGGTTCATTACATTTTATATATAATAAAATAAAATCTATTTTATAAGAAAATGAAACAAACTTTAGGACTTTGAATCCAAGAGAAGGAGGTATACCTGACTGAACAAAAAACCAACAGAAAAAACAATGAAATTTGACAGACCATACAATGAATGCCCCATTTTAAAATGAAATCTATGATCCAGTTATTATTTTTAGGGCATGGTCAGTGAAATTTCAATCATGTCACCTTGAATCTATTGTCATTGTGAAATTACAAATGCAAATTCTGCATTCTAATACTCAGGGACCTCTATGCAATTAGTCGAAATCTTAGATAAGCTTTCATCTTTCTCTTTCTACAAACACTTACTAATCCATTCAATTCAAAACTTGAGCATGAACTTTGAACGCAAAAACGCATGAGTCAAGTAATATATGCATGAGTCAAGTAATATATTCTAAAATAAATCAATTACAATAAGCTGCAATTACCTCAAATTTCCAAACCAAAAAACAGAAGAAAAATTAAAATTTGACAGATCATACTAATTAAATTATATCGCATGAAAAATAATAGTTATAATTTACTAGACTTACAAAAAGTTCAATAAAGTATCACACTCAGGAACTTATATGAAACAGATAGCTGCTTTTCCTTCTGTATTTGCTGGCATTGACTGCGGAAAAGTAAAGCTTCTTCTCTTAATCAAGTTGAAATAGACAAAAATCAGATCTTTATGATTGTTTGGCTTAATCATCAAAGGTATGATTTTTATGTCTATATCAACTTGATTAAGAGAAGAGTATAATTAAGTATGCCCTTAATGTGATGATAATCATCAGTCAAACAGTCTCCATTCAAAACAATTATGTAAACAAAACCAATGAGATACTAATTAAGCTTTTACAGATCGATTCCATCGGCAATTTAATTAAAAATATGAAAAATAGGGTGAGAAGTGTAAATTTTACAGTCGGCGATAAAAAATTAGATCGAAATTATAAGATCAAAAGAAGCAGAGAAGGATTAAGAGATTTAGGGGAAAAGATCGAACCTTTGAAGAAACCCTAGAAGAAGCAAGAAGAGGAAGCAGCAGCCTCCTCGAAAATATCTGGCAAAGGGGAATCAAAATATCTAAATATGGTGATTAGAACAATGATCTAAATCAAATAGTCCCCAATTGTTTTGACAAATCGAAAATAGAAAAAATTCTAAAAAGAATTGACAAATTCGACCTAATCAAATCCATGATTGAAAATATTACCTTAATCTCCCTCATCCATGGATTCTCAGTGAAAGATTCGAGCTTGTTGAGGAGACGAAACCACAAGACGAAGAGGCACGAGAAAGGGAGAGTCGATGAAAGACTGTGAGCTTGCGAGAGAACGAGGAACGAAGAACCAGAGAACGAGAGACGAGAACGGGAAAACGAGGGTTTTCACCTGGGCGGGTTAGGCGGGCGCGATGCCCGCCCATTAAGAGCCTGTTTACTCTCTTTTAAATTCATACCCGCTCATTTAGAACTATTTAACCAAATGGGTGGGTTTTGGGCGGGCCAACTGATGGGCGAGCTGGGTGGGCAATTGGGTATGGACAGAAATTGCCTTCCCTAGCTCGAGGCAACGCGATCGTCAGTGGTGGTCGACGTCGATGGCGAACGAGGGAAGGCGTCGAGCCCGGGCAACGAGGGAATGGACAGCGGAGAAGAGAGAATGGTGTGATAGGTCACGGCGAAGTTGGTGGCGGTTAAGTTCAACGAA